CCAGCTGCTGCTGACTGCCGATGACCGTGTGAACCCCTGCATTGGGGGCGTCATCCTCTTCCATGAGACCCTCTACCAGAAGGCGGATGATGGGCGTCCTTTCCCCCAAGTTATCAAATCCAAGGGTGGCGTTGTGGGCATCAAGGTGAGGGACCTAGATCTGGGGCAGAGTGGTCTAGAGTAATTGGGTGGTGTGAACAGTGGCTTTGGAGCCTGGTGACTTGGGTGGTATCTGCCTAGACCTCCTTCGAAGAATGCATAAGAAAAGCTGGAGACAGGTTACCTGCCTACTTGGCATTTTTAATTCTTACAATTCTGCGAGAGAGAGGGAGCGATTGTCCCCATTTTCGAGATAAGAAACCAGAGACTCATGGAAGTCCAAGTGTTTGCTCCGAGTTAGTAAGTGGCAGAGCCTAAGCCTCCTGACCTCAATTCAGTGTAGTATTTATCCAATGATTTCCCCATGTATCCTGCTTCACAGGATCAGATACTGTAACTGATTGAAAACCATGAGGGATTAGTATTGGAGGCAGAGGGGAGAAAAGGTACTGGAGTTTATTTTCCTTCTCCCACATCCTAACAGGTAGACAAGGGCGTAGTACCCCTGGCAGGAACAAATGGCGAGACCACCACCCAAGGTAAGCACTGTTTGGCTCCCCACTCTCCTGACCCAGTCTGTCTAGGTTGGGGCCTGTCTTGGGTGCTGAGGATGAGTGAGAGCCTTGTGTCCCCCTGGCCCAGCATTCTGACTCCTTGTTTCCTCTTTAGGACTGGATGGGCTGTCTGAGCGCTGTGCCCAGTACAAGAAGGATGGAGCGGACTTTGCCAAATGGCGCTGTGTGTTGAAGATTGGGGAACATACTCCTTCAGCCCTCGCCATCATGGAAAATGCCAACGTGCTGGCCCGTTACGCCAGCATCTGCCAGCAGGTGGGCCTACAGGCCCTCAACAGGCCTCCTCGCACCTTACTATTAAGTTCCAGAATGTCAGCTAGCCTGCCAACCATCTGCCATGATGCCTCTCTGTGTCCCACCCATCTGCCATGATGCCTCTCTCCGTCCTTCATGGCAGCTGTTCCTGATACTCACTAGGCAAAGAGCAGGCACTAAGTCTGGCCTTGCTGAGGGCACTCACAAGGGCTCTTTGACACAGAGGGGCAGAGTGGGGATTGTGCAGCTGCGTCTGGAGGCAGTACCTATCTCCCACAATCTGCTGAGGGCTTTGAAAAAGCCGTCCCTGTCATCACAGAGATAAGATCTTGGCCGATGGGGTTCCAGATTAGGAGACCTCACAAGCACCCTGTCCCTCATCCGCAGAATGGCATCGTGCCCATTGTGGAGCCTGAGATCCTCCCCGATGGGGACCACGACCTGAAGCGCTGTCAGTATGTAACTGAGAAGGTAGGTGGCCTACTTTCCTGGGCAGTGTGGTGTGCTGACCTGAGCTGAGGACCCCAGGATGGATCCCTGTACCCCACACCCCACTTTGGCCCTTAATTGCTCTAGGTATTGGCTGCTGTCTACAAGGCACTGAGTGACCACCATGTGTACTTGGAAGGCACCTTGCTGAAGCCCAATATGGTAACACCAGGCCATGCCTGCACACAGAAGTTTTCTCA